CAACTGGATGAGAAATACATGGCGCCGCGCCAAGTCCGCCTCCCTCCTGACACGGCCGAACAAGACTTTCAGAGATCCATAGGTAGTACCGTGAACCAAGGAACGCGAATGACACGGGAAACTAACGACCGGAAAATATCTTTAGGCTCAATACGACCCCACCCCCTCCCCGACCAAATACTCTCAAAACGCGACGTCCTCTGTGCTGACAGCCTCCTCTCCAGCTATCACACTGCCCATGTTTCTCGAAACTCCACGTTGAGATGTTCTATATTCAATTTCAGAACGGAGTAAAGTACGTGTTTCTCGAAACTCTGGCGGCGCTCAAGCTGAAACCCGAAAAAGATGAAGCAGAAGATCCCGAATGTATGTCCAACAGGGTCGATGTAGCGACCCACATCTCAACTTTCCAAAATCAACAATTCAAAAACTTGTTTTCAGTCATGTCACTGACGCCGCTGGAGGGTGTTGCCGCAGTGCTCAGTCGACTAGGAAGCTCTGGTCCATTGCTGAACGTATGAACTTCTTTCCAGTCCATAAGCAATCTAACAGTTGACCGAAGGTTTCGAGAAACTTGAAATTTTCAGCAAATCTTCGTGAATGCTCGTGAATGCCTGACGAATCCGGCAGCTTTCCCTGAAGCCAAACAGTCGGTAAGACTTTGTGCCACTACTATAACTGACTGACAGTAAGGGAATGGAAGCTACCACGTAAACACGCCGGGTTAAGCCTCGATCCTCTGCCGCTCGAACCAGCCATACCTTCCATCCCTCCCAGCCCGTTCATTCGGAACTAACTTGCCTGGGAGGTTGGAAAACGTCCACCTGTGTAGTGCTTGATCCCCTATAGGCCAAATCGCATTAAAGTGCCACTACGCATTGAAGGCAAATTCAGCGATTAACTGACGTACAGAATCAGTTGCATTGGTGTACGCCATGCATGCATGTTTCGCGATTAATTGACGTCTTTCTTAAGCAAGGAGGCGCGGTTCGCCATGACTGAAGATATCAAACTTTCACGACTTGAGAGTGCTCAATAGGAACGCT